TTTTATTTATATGCAATATAGCTAAAGGAATGCTTATGTAACCGGATGGCGGGTAATTATCTGAGGATCGTAACTCTACTGAAGTTGTCGCAACGATGCTAACATATTCAGTATAGCTTCCTGACTGCTCATTTAGTCTGGGGGCCATAAGTATGAGATCATCGGCACCGCACTTATTATTTAAAATGGAATGTAATTATATATAAAAATTTATTTATACGCAATACAGCTTAAGGAACCCTGATGTAACCTGATGGCCGGTAATTATCAGAGGATCGCAACTGTAATTAAGTTGTAGCAGCGATGCTAACATATGCAGTAGAGCTGACTGACTGCTCAGTTACTCTGGGGGCCATAAGTATGGCACCATCGCCACTACACTTAATAGTTAAAAGGGAATATATTTATTTTTTTATTTATATGGAAGGGAGGTAAATGGCTGTTAATATAAGCTGGTGGCCGGTATTTATTGCACGATTCCAACTCTACTGAGGATGTCTCAGCGATGCTAAGATATGCGAAAGGGGTCGCTGACTAATCACATAAGCGGGCCGCACGTAAGTGTTAGTGCTTGCTGGCTGCACAGAAGCTGGCACAGCAATGCCTCCATATGCGACGGTACTGATTGTCTACTCTAATAAGCTGGCGGGTGGCAAGTACTAGATGTTCCCGACCTCACTGAAGGTATAAAATACGTCCTATCGTAGGCAATGGAGATAAGTGACAGCTCATAAGAGCTGGACGCCCGTAATTGTTACATGTTGCCCGGTGCACAGAATGTGTCACAGCATAGCGTTTGGTCCACTGAACCCTCAACGTTTCCTCAAATCCTTAACGCCTACAGTGCATTTGTATGTTTATTACTCCAACGTCTCTGCTATTGTACTGAAGTCTGTGGTGAGGCCACCAAAACGGTTCTCACGTTGTCATGCAATTCATTTTTCGCAATAGTTTTTCTCCCACGGGGCTTCCGTATCCACGTAATACTATTTTGTAGTCAACCGTTGTTCCATAAGGAATAGAGCTACCGGACTGCTTGCATGAACTGGTCGCCAGTAATTCTGAGATGTCCGCCGCTAGATAGAATGTGTCACGGCAATGCTTCCAGTCTCTGCCTCCGAAGCAAGGTATTTAGGCTGCTTTGGTAGAAATACTCTGCCTCAAGGAATGCCATTGTACCCAGGCCGGTCATGGCAACGGTTAAATCACCGAACAGCCGGTTAGCACGAGACAACTTTTCCTCACGCGTTAACACGACGTGCGTGGAGGCAGATGCGGAGGGCATCGGTTCAACTTCCGCTCGGAAGGTTTCCCCATCAGGGATGGGAAACTGATGGTCCACCATGGACCAACGGCTTCTGTGCATAAGTGGGGTAACGTCTGCGGTTAACATCCCAGCTACTCGCACAATGTGTGCGCATGGCATATCCCATTGCCTAAGGAAACTGCAGTCACAGGCCATCTCATTACCCATAAAAACGGTGTGCTTTCGGTCTCCCTTACCTAATACGTCATACCCAGTGCCGTTCGGCCGTATTGAGGTGACCGTCTCTGAAGAAATGTGCCGCATAAATATGGCAGCAGCATAAGTAGAAAGGCAGGAAACCAACTCCCGCACCTGCCCTGTTGCCGGAATGGTGCGCGATTTCGACATCTGCAATTTGCCCAGTGACGTGGTCCAACGTGATTCCGCATCGCGTGCTCTACGTACAACGGCCTCAAAAAGTTGCAACAGCGATGTCCTTTCGCTTAATCCGCACTTGAGGTGCTTATTCTCGTTTTCCACTCTGTTGGTGGTGAACGCACCCAACGTACGCACATCGCGCAACCGGTGGTACGCCCAGCTTCCTGCGAAGGGCAACCACGTACGACTGAGGTAAGTGAATGCCTCTTTGCTTCTAACCCTTATCGCTCTGAGCAGCATCTTAAATTGCAATTCCGTCTTCGTGTACACCAATCGGTGCATCCACTGCTTGAGCAGAACTCTGTCCGCCTTCTTCACTTTTGACAAACACTGGCATCTGCGTGAAACGTCCCGCAGGAAATGAAACCGGCATAATACTACAGTGCTCCGTGCATATACTGACTTAAATGCCTTCATTTGACCCAGGCACCTATCCATGACTATAGTCTTCGCTGACAAGGTGGTGGGCAACATTTCCGACATGCCCCGAGCAACCTCCAGGTAACTGCATGCTGTCTCGTTGGGCATTAAAGCGTAAAACACGCTTCGACCTACGCCGAAACCGTCAATCACCATACAGTGCCAAAGAATATAACCACCGCAGTTCACCTGATGCGTCGCATCCGCAAGAAGTACGTCGCCGTATTTCGCCGCTATGGAAGTCATTGAAGCAGGAACGAAAAATACGAATCGCACTTGTGACCCATCTCTTTCGACACGCACAGCGCCGTTCTTACTCAACAATTCCGCTACCGCGTTTACATCATTCCCCTTAGATACCCCACCTAAGCGATGGCGGATGGAAAATAGGTCCTGTCGATTCAGTCGTTTGTTATATCTTTCCAGGACATAGTCTCGCAATTCTCCGGTATTACGGAAGGACTGCATTAAATCAAACACTTGCCGCTCCGCCTCGGGAGTCAGACGCCGGTTACCCACGTACAAACTTGGATTCCCCAAGTGAAAATTATGATTATGCACCAGACAATGCGAGCCTATCTCATAGTAAATGCCCTTAGCACTGATGGATATGCTCGCTTTACAACCGAGGCTGACATACCTATGAAACATGAATTACGCATAAAAAACTTTCGCACTTACCGACTGCCACCGTCTCCTTTCCGGGTGCAATGGACACAACGATATTGTACCCATTTGTACCGCATCCCATCGGGTAGCTCTTGACCGGACCACTTCTTATACGACGCAGCGGTCAAAACGTCATATTTGTAAAAACTGGTCGCCGTCTGAAGTTGAAACCGCTTCAAATCTTCCTCGAATTCACCAAATGCCTTATAATATTGGCGAAAAGCAGCGCGGAAAGCAACAGTATCATCCACAGCCATTGCAGCGAAACCGAAACAACACCTGCGCACTAAAACAAAAACCATCATATACATCGTAAAATAATGCACCACCATTTTCAGTTCCCCTAAATCAATATACCTTTATTACACCCTTATCAGGCCTTAACAACGTACTTCATATCATTCATCCCCATCAGCCAGTACAGCAAACAGTACCGCCCCCAAAATATGATCAGCTGTTTTCGATTAATCCGACGCTCTCCAGATCAGTATAGCACGCCAAAAAATCGAGTTGCCGCGTAGTACTCACAGGACAATTCACCGCGTAGTACTCACAGGACAATTCACCGCGTGGTACTCACAGAGCGGACAGTATGACAAGGGATTTCCGTCCTGCTGTAGTGTTGCACGGAAACTGTCGTGGCGCGCTGCTTGACTTTGAACTGGTGTTTACGCTGCGCTTTCATTTGCCTTGCAGGAACCTGGTCGTGTGCTTTAACGGAAGAAGTGCAAGCAGAAGAAGATTGACTTTTGCTACGTGTTGCTTAATTAATCTCCAGTTCCAATCTCCGGAGTTCTCCCAAGCTTGTATACTACAATATTGGCGACCTTGCCGAGGCACGTTTATCAGGAATCCTGTATCACTGGTCTAATGAAGATAATGCCGAAGACAACCGACAAAGCCGATGACAAAACTAATTTTGACGGTAATGATCCGACGACAAAGCTCGCCGCTTCGCTCGATATGTTATCACGGACTTTGCAGAAAATGTCGACTTCATCAACTTCTTCAACCAGCATGCCATCTATCCCGCCGCCAGAACGTTTTACCCTGGGGATGCTGTACCCCAGATGGGAAAGGCAAGTCTAGTTTTATCTGCGTCATTTCCCATCCAACCAACAGGCAGCTGTGCTCGCCGGCCTGCTCTCGGGATAGGCCTTTGATATCGTTGCAGACAGTAAACTTTTGGAGAAAGAAGTTACAGCCGAGACTTTTTCCGCCATGCGCCGATTATTAGCCCGCCCCGGTCTACCTGCGCCCCTACGCAGGGCATTCCATGCACGTTACCAATATCCAGCGGAAACCATACGCACATACGTTCGCGAACTGCAGAGGATGGGCGATATCGCATACGAGAACGAAACGCCCGATGAACGTGAAAAGCTGGTCTTAGGACAACTCCTAGAGGGCGTTCAAACGCCGTCTATTAAAAGGGAGTTCCTGCGATACCCTCCACGCCGTTTGGACGAAGCATTGGAAACAAGTGACCATTTGGAAGACATAGATGCAGCGATGGGTACGCCTACATCTGGCTGTTTTGCGGTAAGAGGAAACACACGACATAGACGCGTCCGACCTGAAAGAATGACGGGAAACCCCGGCCGTTTTCAGAGATATCCTGCCCCACGACGACCGGCACAATCAGGTGTTCGTTGGCCCCGCAGACAAACGTCATACCGCGGATCGTCTCGCTACAGGAACACGCCAGGTGAGCATACCATGACATCATTTGTGATACCATCTCTTACTTGCAACTCGATTGTGACGTCGCTAACACTAGAATTATCGATAGCTGGGGATTTGCTTACTGGGGCTAGTGGATACTGGCGCAGCTAGAAGCCTAATCAGGGCCAGCGTGAGTAGGAGCTTCTCAAACTGTGTTAGAAAACCTTGTAACGCTCGCCTTACCGCGGCCCACTGGCTACCACTAGTTGTTCGGAATTCCATCGTTGCCCCCGTTGTTGTAGCCTGCACAAGGTTTAACCATGAATTTATCGTTGCTGCTCGGATACCGTTCGATGTTATTATCGGAATAGATTTGTTGAGGAGGTTAAAATGCCGACTTGACCTGGAGAAGTCCCAACTAATCACTGATTCGTGCACCATACTACTGAGAGCAAGCGGCAACAGCAATTTGAGGATTTTACTTTATATGAGTGCAGTGTCAAAGAGCAACAATGTGTAGACGATTTTATTCGGTCGATTGGGCTTTCAGCTGCTACATTAACACAAGCACGATTAGCGCAGGTCATACAAAATTATTCAGATGCCTTTGCATGGAAATCCGGCGACTTGGGACGGACCGGCCTCGTGAAACATACTATTGACACTGGTGTGGCTAGACCGATTAAAGTGCCTCCGAGGCGTATTCCAATCCACTGGCAGGGTGAGATAAAGAAAGTGATAGATGAGATGTTAGAGAAGAACGTTATCCAACCCTCGCACTCCCCGTGGGCATCTCCTGTTGTCCTTGTAAAGAAAAAGGACGGTGGCTTCCGATTATGCGTCGATTACCGAAGATTGAACGAGGCTACTCGAAAGGACGCCTACCCACTCCCAAGGATCGACGATCTGTTCAACGCACTTGGCGGATCTGTGTATTTTAGCACCCTTTACCTGGCTTCCGGGTACTGGCAGGTGGAAGTAGAAGAGAGCGATCGAGCGAAAACCGCCTTTGTCGTGCCCTCTGGGTTGTACGAGTTTCAGACCATGCCATTTGGCTTATCTAACGCTCCAACGCCTAACGCTTCCAACGCCTTATGCAAAAAGCATTAGCTGACCTGATCCCGCGTAAATGCCTCGTGCATTTGGATGATGTCATCGTACATCGAAAGACGGATGACGAACACTTGGACAATTTGGCTAGTGTTTTGGCATGCTTGTTGAGGGTGGGATTAAAGCTTAAGCCCTCAAAGTGTCATCTCTTGAAAAGGGAAGTGGCGTACTTAGGGCACATAATATCTGGAGATGGTATTCGAACGGACCCGGTAAAGGCTGAACAGGTCAGGTCGTGGCCAACGCCAACCACTACGGAGGAGTTACGTAGTTTTCTCGGGTTAGCATCATATTATCGGCGATTTATTCGAAACTTCTCATCCATTGCAACCCCATTACACTCATTGCTAGAGAAGGGTCGCATGTTCGAATGGTCGAAGCAGTGCGCAGAAGCTTTCAATCACCTACGCGAATCTCTCTGTACGGCCCCTTTGCTAATATTTCCCGATTTGTCCCCGTCTGCTGGCCAGTTTATCTTGGACACTGATGCAAGTGATAAGGCGATTGGAGCGGTGTTATCACAACTGGGATCGGATGGTGTCGAACGAGTCGTGGCATATTGTAGTCGCAGTCTCAGTCCGAGGGAGCGAAATTACTGCACGACTAGGAAGGAGATGTTGGCATTGGTATTTTTCATCAAACAAAACCGACATTATCTATTAGGTCGAAAGTTTCTGGTCCGCACAGACCACCAGTCACTTCGGTGGCTGCAAAATTTTAAAGACCCCGAAGGCCAAATCGCACGTTGGCAAGAGCAATTGCAGGAATATGACTTTGAGTGCAGACATCGCCCCGGTAAGCAACACGCTAATGCTGATGCACTGTCACGAATTCCCCCTCGTAACCATGGAGAGTGCCCTTCGTGTAATACGCAACACGTAGCAATCGTCAATCTTCAAGGAGCAGAGTATGGTCGGTGGCAAACGGCACAGGCGAACGATCCCGATACCGCACTGATCTACGAGAGGCGTCTTAATGGCGGCGATAAACCAACGAGTAAAGAGATGGAAGGGAAAAGTTATGAAGCTCGTTGCCTTTGGTCCATGTGGGATTACCTGACCACCGAAGAAGGAGTTTTAGTTTTCAATTTCGGACCGACGTACACGAGGAGAATCATCGTCCCGCATTCTATGCTTAGGGAAGTACTGAGCGATTTACACAAGGAAATGGGACATGCAGGGATCAATAAAATTGACGAAGCGGTTCGACGACGTTTCTGGTGGCCCCATCAACGGAGAGATGTGATCAACTACTGTCAAGCGTGCGAAGAATGCGGTGCCTTTAAAAACCCTCGTATTGTTCATCGTGCACCCTTGAAGCCCATGGTGGCCGGCTATCCTAACTAGATAGTAGGAGTGGATCTCATGGGCCCTTTACCTGAGACGCCAAGCGGTAATCGCTTTATTTTGGTCATGATCGATTAC